AGAGAGAGAGAGAGAGAGAGAGAGAGAGAGAGAGAGAGAGAGAGAGACTGACAAGATTAAACAATGGATAAAGGCATGTGTCAAGTCTTAGAACCTGAGTTCAATTCTCAAGATACACATGGAAGGAACCATTGTTCTCCCTGCAAATTGTCCTCTGATCTTTGCATGTGCCATGGCATGCATGCATCCATACATAGTAAATGAGAGAGGGGAGGAGGGAGCAAATGAGATTGTAGTTGGTCTTTGCTACTTTGTGGGTTTTTCTTTTCCCTACCCTTAAACACCCCCCCCCGCACCAGTTTCACCCCTATCATAATATCACAATCTAATTTCTTTTCTTTTGGTTTTTCTTTGAATATGACTATTAACAGACATCCAACAACCCCCCTGAATGACCACCAACCATCAATCCCACCTCTTGGGGCCCTAGCACTTATATACTCCCTGAAAACTTCTCAGAATTGCAAGCATTACACAATCAAAGAAACTATCTGCAGCTGACAAAACCACACCTCTGCTAGAGCACGAGCCAAATCATAGTCAGGTGCTGCAGTCTGAAGCAGCCACACCTGGTACTAAAACAAAAACACATTCTCATAATATTTCTGTGTTTGTTTACTATATGCGTACACTGTAGCTGTTTTCATACACACCAGAAGAGGGCATTGGATGTTGTTGTTGGGAATTGAATGCAGGACCTCATGACCACTGAGTCATCTCTCCAGGCCTAGTCCTGTGTTTTTTAAAGAAACTAAAATTGCAGAAGTCTCACTACAGAAACACACACACACACACACACACACACACACACACACACACACATCACTATTTCACTATTAAAGGAAACAACTTACCTGTTGAAGTAAAGAAGAACCACAAGGGGTCTCCTGCAACAAAACAATCCTTTCTACCCAGGACTTTGACTTTTCCCTTGCTAGAAGTAGCATCAATTACCTTTTCTTTTGAAGATAGTGTGGGATGAACAAACTTCCTGTACAGGAGGCTGGATCCTTTTGTATAGGGAGACAGCAGCCAGGCTACAAATGCTATTTTTAATTCATAATAGAACGGAAACCTGGAAGATAAGAAAATATACCTTCCATTAGGTTCTCAGCAGCACTGTTTAAAGCCCATAAAAGACTGGGGTTAGCATGGACACCTCACATCTCCTACATGTACGACAGGTTCCCAGATTCCTCATCCTCCACCCACGGGAGGCATGTGCACACACGTGCACATCTACACACCCAAAGACCTCTCCCTGAAAGCCAACTCGTGTTTTGTTTTGATTTTGTTTCACAAGAAAAGCAGGAAGGCAGGTTCACTCCAGCAGTTGCACCATGGCCTTGCCCGGCAGCAGCTGACGGTTTAAGCAGGGCTGTGCTAACTGGGGTTGGCATGTTGAGCCAGCTGCAACTGTGGGCTCAGAAGATCAAGTTTGCCGTCTAGTCATTGATCCTTCACTATTTGCGGCCAGGAGGCGCCGCGGTCGGGGCGGTGTTACAGCAGGCAAAGCTGGCAGGACTTCCACAACGGTCAGGCACCTCTCTTTCCTGTTCAATAAAGGCAGGGAGAGGAGTCCAGCTCCTACCAAGCAGGAGAATCCTGCTTCCTCTACTCAATCACAGGCACAGAGAACTTAATCTGTTTTGTGTGTGCCAAGAGAAAGGAGAGTGTGGGCTAACATACATGCTGGACTCCTACACACTCTCAGGGCCATTCATTCATTTGTCCCACAAACACTGGCCCCCACTACACCTATCTGTGACGTCTTATATAAGGTGGGGGTTAGAGGAGTGGCAAAGACTCCCTGCAATCTTGGGGCTTCCAGACAGAGACAAGATTCTGGCATCCGGGGCTGAAGAGGTAGTGAAGTCGGGGAAACGCTTGCTTTGCAAGTGTGGGGAGCCGAGTGTGATCCACAGATGCCACAGAGAAAGAAAAGGCCAGATGGTGTAGTGTGTACTTGTAATCCTAGCAGTGGAGAGGCAGAGACAGGTGGATCCTGCCAGCCAGTTTAGTCTGCTCCAGTCACAGGCCATTGAGACCCCATCTCAAAAGAAAAAAAAAAGTAGATGTGCCTCAGGAACCACATCTGAAGCTGTTTTCTGGTATATAAATACATGCACATGTACCTCCAGAAACACCAGCACACATGTGCAACCCCAACCATTACAAGGGAAGAAATGTCAAGTAATGGTATTCCACAGATTTAATGACAGGGAATCACACATGCAAACATGGAAAAGTTTACTCAAAATACACACACTCACACAGACACACACACACACATCTTCAGAAACAGCAAGAAACAGAGAAAGAGGATGGAGGTATGAGGAGGAGAGGGAGGGAAGAGGGGAAGGGAAGGGAGGAGAGACAGTCTGATGTCCCTGAATTTAGGAGTCCAGCTAGAGATTGATTGATATAATATCAACCTGAGACAAGTGTCCTAGGGGGTCTCTGCTACTCTACTCTTTGAAAAAATGGAAAAGTCAGGCCCCTCAAATGGATGCAGATCAGTGGGGCCATGGTGTGGTAAGCAAAGTTTGACGCAGATTTCAGCCCCACATCCCCAGTCTCTAGCTGGTGCTGTGAATAACCTGGACAATTGTATTGACGGCATCTTGAGTCTTCGTTGACCCTGGGGGAAGTGTCCTCGCCAGGGTAAGCCGATTCCTAGATCTAGCCAAGAAAGAGCTCCCCAGCACAAGCACAGGCTCCTTCTGAACTTTCTTACTGTTTTCTAATGTTTTACTTTTAAATTGCCTGCGTGTAGGTTTATGATGTGAGAGCAGTGACTCTGGAGGCCAGAAGAGGGCATCAGATCCCTCTGAAGCTACAATTACAGGAGGTTGTAAGCCACCTAACAGGAATGCTGGGAACCCAGTTCTATTTCTCTGCGAGAGGAGCAAGCACTCTTAACTGCTGAGCCATCTCTCTAGCACCATCCTGACCCTGGAAATGAGAGAGGGCTGGTGAGTAAGGAAAAAGTCTATGCTCAAAGAGCCTGATAGCTTTCACATACAGGCCAATAGTCCAGAGCCTGCAGGATCTCATATTCTGAGCCACTCTGCATATGCTTGCATTTCCCTAAGACCGGGACCAGATAGCCAGAGATGCTTGTATATCTCAGATCCACTTACAATAACAAACCCAAATCCTTCTCACAGAACCATGCTGACAGCAAGCACCGCCGTTTCCACTCTCTGCCTCCAGAACCATCCTGGTACCTCCCCTAGTGGCCTTGTGTGGTGCTGCACTTCCTGTTACTAGGACTCTGTGATGTGGACAAACCTCTCCCTCCTGTCAGCCATTTTCAGGTCCTCAAGCCTGACCACATATACTTAAAACAAATCCCAGGCATCCTTACTTAAAATAAGATGCAGTGGATAAAAAGGTCTCTTATGCTAGTCCGAGGGACCAAAGAGTAAGTCTTTCTCAGGCATCCTTCCCAGATAAAGGGAGCTAAAAATAAAAGCAACCCCTAGCAAGTCATTTCAGAGCCCTTTCAAACTCATACAGCCCCTTCTCCGGAGTCAGTGGTCCACCCCACCAAAACCTCTCTGCTTTCTGGCTTTAGCAGGCTCTTCCTGAATATTCTCCAGTAACGGGGGGTGGGGGATGGGGGTGGGAGTAGGGGGTGGGGTGTTCTTCCCAGGCATAGTTGTTTCATCTCTCACAGCTACAAAAGACTGGGGCTGAAAGAGAAGAGGCATGATTGATGCCCCTCGCCCCCAGAGTGGGACACAGTACTCATTAATAATGGAGGAACTTTTGTTTTGAAAACAAATTATTCGCCAGTCTAAGGGGAAAGCTACTGAATCCAGCAAGCTTAGAAACCAGCCTAAGATACACATAGTCCCAAGGACAGCAGTCACACTAGGGCTCTTCTAGTTACTATGTAAAAGATGTTTTTAAAAAGTAGGTCGTGCACGCACACAGTTAAGAAATGCTAAAGGATCTGAGCGTAGACAAGAGTTTCCCTCCCACCCAGGCCCTCTAGACTCTTCTTAATCTGATTACTGCATATTTAGACTAGGGGCTAGGACTATTCAATCGGGTGGGCCCTACATGTGATTCCTTTAACTGCCTGTTGGTGGCATTCTCCATTCTCTATACCCCTACACCTTGCTTTCCCTAATCTGCACACAATCAACAGTATACACTGGGGACCATCTCATACCAGAACATGGAAAACTTCAGTCTCTTTCATGGCTTCCTATAGATGTCTAAGTATCTCCTGGGTAAAGGGATTGATGACAACCTCCATCCATCACAAGCAAAGCCTCCAGCAAACTTCCCCGTATATGCTCCTTTTCCTATGCATACAAATGAGGCTATGGTCTGGGTACTCAGGAGTGGATTATCTGTATGCACTTTGTAGATAGCAGGAAACCATCATTTATATCTGAGTAATCACATTCTCACTGCACAGCCAACTAAAAGTCTCTGTCCCAGGCAACAGGATTTTTAGCATCTAGGAAATGCATAGGCCTATTCGACTCTCCCAGGGATCCCTCTGGACTGCCCAGCCTACCTTGGTTCTCTGAACCATTTGCTATAGATCACTTGTTCTTTAGAATCTTTCTAGCATAAGCCACCCACCACACTGAGGCAGCTTCTAAAAGCTTCTGCAAGAAGGCTGAAAAGATGGCCCTTGCTGCCCAGAAGATGGCTCCCAGCACCCATGTTGGGAGACTCACAACTGCTTACCCCTCCATCTCTGGGGAATCTGACACACTCTTCTGGCCTCTGTGGACCTGCGTATGCCTATAATGAATATTTTCTCTCTCTCTCTCTCTCTCTCTCTCTCTCTCTCTCTCTCTCTCTCTCTCACACACACACACACACACACACACACAAACAAATATAATAATACCTTTAAAAAGAAACAACCATAAAAAGTTTCCTGTCTCCCGACCTTTTGGTTCATTCCTTGGGCCTTCTCTTGTCAGAACAACAGAGCATAGTCCAGTGACAATTCAGGTGGCAGTGTTTGGTGTGGCCAGTAGGTCTGCCTTTTGAGCACTGTCCCCAACCTGATACCAAGTAGCTCTAGACTGTATGGGAGGCCACTATTATTCAGTCATGTCTATCCTAGTGATGGAACCTGGTTTGTCCTTTTCTTTTTCTTTACCTCGCTTCCCCTTCCTTCCTTCCTTCCTTCCTTCCTTCCTTCCTCCCTCCCTCCCTCCCTCCCTCCCTCCCTCTCTTCCTCCCTTCTTCCCTCCCTCTTTCCTTTGACACAAGGCCTCATTATGTAGATTAGGCTGGCTTCAAACTCACAGAGATCTTCTGAGGACTGGAGGTGAGGATGACCCTGTGGGTTTGGAGCCTGCGGTGACGATACCCAGGCACAGGGAAATCAATGGTTGTAGAGGCACTAAAGCAGAATGAGTTTTCCTTTTGGGGGAAAGATGGCATCAGTATCCAGAGCACTAAAAAGGAAGTCATTACAGCCTTTTAACTCTTCTCAGGACTTACAGGGCCTCAGTCCTTAACCTGTTACCCCTTGAAAGGCATGGGATAGTCAGGGGTAGTGTAGTGGGCATGATGGCAATTGCCTTTAAGTCCTAGCGGTCACAATACTGGGGCAGAAAGATCATGAGTTTGCAGCCATCCTAGGCTATACACCAAAACCTTGTCTCCAAACAAAATTAAGGACTAGGGATGCAGCTTGGTTGGTAGAGCACTTACTTAGCATGCATGAGTTCCTTCATCGCAGCACAGAATAAATTGGGCATGGTACTGTTTACCTGTAAAACCCAGCAACCAGGAGGTGGAGGCAGGAGGAAAAGAAGTTCAAGGCCATCCTCAGTTATATAGAGAGTTCTAGACCATTCTGGAATACATATATATATGTGTGTGTGTGTGTATGTGTATATATGTATGTATGTATGTATATATATATTAAAATTAAAAATGAATGATTGACTGGTATAAGTTCTTCTCCAACCCCTTAGTGCCCCAAACAATCTTAGGCTCAAAACCAGGGTGCTTTTAAAGTCAGTTAGGATGAGATCATCATGAAGTCTCTGAAAATAAATTAGATGAGAGAGTGAAACAAAACATAGG